TGTATGAATACACACACATTTACAAAAACTTGTTGTCACTAGTTACCAGTAAGCTTGTTACTAACTGAAAGCAATGTTTTGGATTCCCTACATATATACTTCTCTGTCCAGTGAATACAGCTTCTCTGTAAAGCTAATAGGAGTTTAGGATTGCAAAAGAGACTTGTAGCAGAGAATTCAAAAGTGGCTAAAGATTTTTTAAAAAATGCTTTCTTTCTGAACAGCATGTTTCCTGTTCTTGTAGTAAGGCCTGAAATTTATATTCTTGATTATTCTCAGACTATAGTCTGATACTTTCACTGTCGTATGACATGCACATGGGGGCAAGAAGAAGACTCGAACATACATAATAATAATGATAACAAAAACAGTAACTGGCTATGCTCAACTGCCTAAAAAGAGGGAGAGATGTTTCTTTTTTCAACTTGGCTATGGAGTGAGAAAAGTCTAGTATATATTTTTCATATCTATTTCTTCTAGAAGAAAACAAGTTGTAGTATCATGGGTGTCTGGAATTAAAATAAGAAACAAATATATTAAAACTCATATTGGAAATATGGAAGACCGCACAGGCATTGATCTGAAAAAGAGCCTAGACATACAAACTCACTCATATTTCACTGAAATGGGTTTGTCTTTCTAGACTAGTAATACCTTCATCAAAAGATTCAGTTCACTCTGTAAGATAGGTGAAAAAAAAAATGGAACTTTTCCAAATGTGAAAAAACAGTATGTAATAATGTTGTAAACTTTTTTATGTGTGTAAGAGAGAAAGGGGGTAGGAGAGGTAGAAACCTATGCCCCAACCCCCACCTGATTTTAGATACTGCTCTATAAAAATGATTTTTCACATTTATTACTGACATCAAAGGGAAAAAATGACATTTACTGAGTACAAAGTCTATGTGTCAGGCATTGTGCTAACAGCTTTACATATGGTGATATAACAAAATGTTAGGAATTTCCTTACATTTTCTCCACTTACATATTCTGTATATGAAGTTCTACCCTGCAATTAACATGAAAAATTAAATAGTGATACAAATACCTGACCTTCGACCAGTGTATTAACTTCCAGGGGGATTTCTAAATTCAATATGGCAGAGGGAACAAGCCTCTAAATTTCTCAAACACACTAACTAGCAAGTGCAAATGTTTTAAACTAAAGAAAAGTATAGATTTGGCTAAAAGGTATCATACCTAGATAAATTGTATTTTTTGGTAAAAACAGCTTTGTGCAATAACATCATTTTAAAGTCCCTTTGAGAGGTTATCTGAAACATTAAAAGATAATTAAAATATATTAAATTATATATACTAAGTAAGGGCTTGATTCTATCTAAAAAAAAAGGCAAAGTTAAAGAATCCAAGTAATATTGTATTGCTCATATATGTTAAAGATGGTAGTGTTAATCCTTGAAAAAATCAATTGCAGAAGAGGCTCAAATTTTTTTACATTTCTTGACTGAGGCTAGTAGAGAGACTACACTAAGAAAAACTTTTTATAGCTGAACTCTGCAGGGATAAATAAAAAACCAGTAGTGAACTAGAAAGGTTGAAGAAAGAATTTTATGTGTTTTACAAGAGGAAGATGGGAGGCAGGGAACCCTATAACCCTTAAATACCTTTGAGCTACAAGATAAAAAAAGGAAGAAAATATTGGAAAGTTGTCAAGTCATTTTTAAAGATGAAGAACCAACCAAACCTAGCTCACTGGAATGAAGTCAAAGAAAACATAACTAGAGCATCTAAAAAAGTAATTGCAAGAACAAAGATGCAGGAGAAAAGAAAGCCTGCAATAAATAAGGCACGTCTATTTTCAAACAGTTTTTACTGTTTTCCTTCTAAAACCTAGATGCTTTAAACAGTGCTTTCAAAGTCATTGCTCCCCAGTCTCACAGGGATAGGGCTCAAGAACCTTAAGGTCATGTTCTCAAATCTTCAAATGTTTAATTATTCTCTTTGGACTTCCCTCTCTCTCTCTCTCTCTCTCTCTCTCTCTCTCTCTGTGTGTGTGTGTCAAATTAAAAAAAACTATCATTTTAGCAGCAATTCAGCAATCTTTAATTGTATACTTGTTATAAACTTTACTTCTCTACCTATCTGTTGCTAGTGAAAACAACAACAACAAAAATACTGGAAATTCACTTCAAATAAAGCTAGGTTCACAGCTGATGACCTGAAAAAGATATTTTTGTCATTAGACAAATGTAACCCAAATACAACTTCTAATACAAGAACATGAGTTCAACATAAAATCCTTCCACAATACTTTGAAAAGCTAAGATAACTTCACAAATGCTCTGTCAGTGCATAACAAATTAAGCTAGTAGTACTCTCTCTGCCCTTTTACAATGCAGTGTCATCTTCCCTGAAGTCTCCTACCAGGAGTGAGTGCTTGTCA